GTCATTCATTTTTCCTCTTATTTTTTTTAAGCTAAAGGGAATTAAAGGTTAAAATAGAAAAACCTTTTATTAATACTCAAAAAATAAGCCTTAACCTTTAGCACTTGTAGAAAATAAATACACCCTTCGACCTTTAAAATCAGTCTTTTCAGTTCTTAACCTTAAATTTTTATTTGCATAGTTCATAGTTGGTCCATTTCACATAATCCCATCAATTTAATCTTTATTATTTTGCCCCATCCCACCAATAAAGACTCAAAAAAAAAAATAAAAAAAATTGGATTAATGATGCGAATGATAATTATCATAATTATTTTATTATATAATGATATCATTTTCATTATAGATAAAATAATTTATTCTTTATTGTTTTTCCCCTCCCCTTCCAAACCCAAAATAAAGGTTGAACTCAATGAAGTATTATTTTAGTGAATGATAATTTCCATAACTATTTTATTATTTAATAAAATGGTTTTCATTGTATTTGAAAGGAAGTTGAAGTCGCCGGCTCAATTAACGGTTAGCAATTGAACTTAGACTCATTGAGTTGGTGACCCGCCCTTTCCTTTAAGTCACTGCTCAAGTTGAATATGAAACTATGCCGAAAGATGCTACAACTTTAATATTTAAATGAGATTCAAGTTGGGATACAATGCAAGCAAAAGAGCAATTTTCATTTACGGCAATATAATTTTTTTTTTACGAGAGGAATAATTATATATAAATTGATGAATTCCTCTGACTTGAAAGAAACATAATCTTTAGAAAATCTAGGATCTAACTTTCGAAAATTATAAAACTGAAATCACAAAAAATAAATAAATAAATAATAATAATAATAATAACAACAACAACAACAACAATAATAATAATAATAATTGTAATGTTATGCAAGTTTATTTACAATTAATGTGGCCCCACGCTGGCTGTGGACATGAGTCTCAACGGCCTCGCCTTCAAATGTGGGCTAGCCTATGTCTCAGCACGGTCACTAACGAACATGCATGATCTTCTCTTTGAATTCATTTAACATTCTAAATAATAAATACTTTATTTTTAAAAAAATGTAGGGCAATTGAGCACCACATGACATTTAAAAAGTAAGAATATGAGTCACATGTAAAATGACATATCAATTAACATTACTTGTATTAGATAGCATTATTTAAAAAAGAACAAAGCCACTTGACCCCCGCCCCCCCAAAAAAAACCACCACCACCACCACCACGAAAAGAGGGACGCCACATCATGGCCACATTTTTTATTGATACCCAATGAATCTTAGGACGATGTTTAATGGTTAATTTCATAGGTTTTGGCCAAGGATTGAAATAACACCACAAGTTGGGACCCAAACCAACAACTTGATCTAAAAATTAATGACGTCATTCGAAACATTTTTTAGTTAATGTTGCTCATGGCCCATTTGATAGTCTTTGCTGATTTGTGTGGTTGACCTAACTAATTGGCTCCCTATTATCTTCCGGAAACAAACCCCCTACAACCATCATTATGTATTTAGTTACAAAAGCACCATGAGCCATCTTTCTTTTTAACCAATAAAATAGGAGATGAAAAGGTCTACTAATTGATTTTGAAAGCCCTACTTTTAACGTGTAATGAACTTGCTCTTTCCGATTTTCAACTTTATTGAAGGGCTCCGTTCCTTCTTTTAGAGTGATGTGGTGGTCAATCTCTCTTGCTGAAGGTGATTGTTTCGGCTCTTAAAAAAATTCCTCAAAGGCCTCGATCAAGTGCTACATATCTGAATGTGCATCATGCTGTGGTTCATCTGCTGCATTTTGTATGCAAATAGCAAACATAGATTTTCCTTGTCATAATTCCTTCGAAGTTCCTTGTACATTTTGAGCTTGATTTTTCCACTAAAACTCCATTTTCATTTTTTTTCCAATTGTCTATAGACCAGAAGATCTATAAAGAGTAGAGAGTAAGAGAGAAAGGGATACCCTGAAGTAAAGACATGCACATGCTCGATGCTCGAACCTCCCTTGGATTCCTACTCTCACAAATTAGCTACATTCTCGTTAATGAAGTTGTGGGTCAATGAGGACAACCACCTCATAATGTCCGACTGTGGCCACGACTCTCATGATTCTGGAGGTTGACCATCAGTTAAAATATGCAGTGATATCTCTGGTTCAGGCTGGAGATTAGTTATGGGTTTTTCTACCGCGTCATCAAGAACCTCTTCAAACTTGATACCAATGTGGCTTCCTTTTGGTAGCAAAACTTGTGGGCTTCGACATTTATGGCCTACAGTGAAGTTGTCATTGCAATTAAAACAAAGACTTGGAGCTTGACTCTTCTGCATTTCCTCCCATGTCAAGCGCTTTATTGGAGATGTGAAGCTAGACTTTGCAGGAATAGAAATGTCCAGCAGATGTGGCCGAATGAATTGTGGAATCTCTGCTGACAAAGAAGTTGGTTATCTAATGGCTTCCTTCAACAACTTTGGCTTGAACATCCATATGCCCTCTGCTATTTCGGCCTAGAGATCTCCCATAAATGTGCCTACTAATGCCTTCTGCTTCCACCCATGCACTTGTTTGCCCAACCTCCCATACTCCTGGTAGTCTCGCAAGGAATTCACCTGCTTAACCCTGTGATAGTGCCTCGTAAATGTCTTCCCATTTGGTGTGTCCAAATGGAGCCCACAGCTTGCCCATGCCACCAATCGCTCATCCTTTTTATATGCTCGGTATAGCCATTGCCACTATTGGTTGGCTTCATCTTCGAGGTGGAATGATGCCGAGGATACTTTTTGTGCTTTTGGAGTGTCTTGATACTCGAAGAATTGATCAACTCAGTTGAACCACCACTGTAGGATTGACGCAGGAGTAACGAAGAACTCAAGTTTTGCCTACTCGGCCTCCGTTGTTATCATCTATGTTGGTACGAGAAAAGCCATCTCTTTCGGTGTTGTGGTGGCTAGCGGATTCTCAGTTGTAGAGCATAGGTTCTGAAAGCCAAGTTGATGGTCTCCTTCAACCAGTGCAACTTATCAGTCACATCACGTTCCATCTGTTGCATCCCTTCTCGAACTCCACCAAGTTCAGCCTCCAAAACCTCAGTCCTTTCTTTGTTGGATGCCATGGTGATGAAGCTTTGATACCAAAGATAGGTCCTAGTCAAAACTATTACAATTGCTAAGTAGATAGAAATGAACCGCAGCAATTTGACTTTGAATAAACTTGCTTTATTATTGCAAACTAGAAGACTTTAAATAATGGAAAACAACTTTTCCTAAACCATTGGACCAATGGAATTATGACAGCAGATCCTCAACAGCTCCAAACATTCTTTCACGTTCCCCGCATAACTGAACCTGTGGATTCTTGATTGGAACACGTTGCAATCTTGGTTTATCAACAACCTTCAAGGAGTATTGTTTTGCTATGTTCTCGGTAGCAAAAGTTTCAAATGTGCAGTCCGATAGAAAGGCATTGAATCCTCTATTTTTTCTTCTTGTTTGTCCCAAATAAATGAGCAAGTTGATTAAGCTTAAATGCACGTGGCTTCTTTCAGCAGTAAGACCCTCCTTGCTGCCGAGAGAAAAGGAAAAGTTTTAGTCAATATTGGGCAAAGCGAAAAATGGTTAATAGCATATTCTGTCGTAGGAAACAGATACTGAAAACTTGACAGAACCAGCCACAGCACAAAGTAATGAAATTATTCTATGAAATTCTGCCAAGGAATTCTGATTAACTAATCAATAACCGAACTGCAATGAAAATGGGATTGACAATCAATGATCCAACTTGGAGATTAGTAGGCTCAATGTACCTCACAACACTTTCTTTCTTTTCATATTCCCACTCTCAAACAATTTTACCTTTTCTCCCACAAGACAATTTTATATTCTCTAGTTCACCGTAGAGTAATTTTATTCATGATGAAGTCAATAGTCGCCCCTACATTACATACACATGACCAACTGTAATTTGATTTTTATTGCCTCATATATCAACTAACAGTTTGCCATGTGTATATGACACTACCCGTAGTTTTCACTATGAATAACATTATTCTTTGCCGTAACCTGGGATGTGACAACCTTATTCATGACATTTAAAAAAAATTTCAGACAACAATAGCATTGCTAATGAATGAACTGACTTCAAATGCAGAAGCTGGGATACCAACCTTTGAAAAATAAGAGTTACAAAAATCACCACCATTTTTCAATAATTTTAAACCCGAAAGATGCACCAGAACATCAATGCAGGTAAATATACAGTTTCCAGTACACAAAAATGCAAAAGAAAAACAAGTTCTTCCAATCGAACTGAACATGTGATTTAATGCAGCCAGTACTCTCAATCTCATAGAATAAATTGGAGATTCCAACTCGAGAGCATATAACCTCCCTCTTCTCATCATCTCCAGTAGCACTTGGTGTTTAACTAGTCATGGCGTTCCCCACACAAGCTCCAAGATATATTCTACAGAATCAAAGGCCAAAATCAATGACAATGAGGCTAAAAAATTATACAACAATCCAAAGGCAAAATAAACATCACGCAAACGTAGTTTCTGAAAGTATGAATTTAAACAACGGAGCTTCCAAAATGCCTACTTAATACCCTTTTAGTGCAAGAACAAGTGGGCCAACCCTTAAAAGTTTTATATTAGTGCATGATCACTTTAAAACCTCTTCGAATACCTTGACATAATTAACATGTTAAATGAACAAATAAAAGAATATGGCACCAATTCTACTCTACAACAATTGGTCAAACCTTACCGACTGGTCGGGCATGAAGCACAAGCTTGAATGTATATTCCAGATAAAACACAAATAAACATAGTTAAAGAAATGCACCCAACCCATATGGTGTTTACTTTTTACCCTGTCACATTGCATATCTCCTTGGTACATGTAACATTTGAGATATATAGCTATATCCTCAATCTAAAATACAAATCACGGTGAAAGCTTGAATTTCTGATGTCCATCATTTCACCTTTCCACTCGTCCTCTTTAGTTTTAACTTTCGATTCACTTTTATATGCTTTCAAATTCACACGTTTCGAGGAGTCTATTCCAAACAAAAATTGGAGGGAAGAGATGCACATAAGCTTTGTCCACAAGCTAAACAGCAGAATAAAGCATATTATCTATTTTAATAAGAAATGAAACATAAAAGCACAACACAGATAAAAATATAGTGTACTTACTATCTTCTAGGACTTGATGCAGCACCAGTTGCCCTAGCAAAAGCAGTAGTTGATATCAGTAAGCTTCTATTCTGAAGAATGCATAGAATTTATCAGTTATATGAAATTCTAAAGTCAATACCTGCCCTGATGTTTGCCTATTAAACTGACACTGGACTTCCCATGAGATGCATCCTTCCTTTGGAAAACACCATTTGTATCAGTGTTTATTCCATTTCCAACTGTCAGTTGTTCAGAGTTTTCGGATCCATTCTGCTCCATGTGATCCTTAGGTTTGCTCAAAATTTTAATATTTGATACTCCCCCAGCAACACTAAAGGAAGCACCATTCATGTTCTGATTCCGAATTGCAGAGAACATAGAAGGATTGCCAACAAGATGTGAAGGTCTAGAGGCTGCAATCTCATTGAAATTGGTCTTATTAGCATCTGCAGATGTGAAGTCAAGCGAGGAGACCTTCATTCGGGGCGCTTGTGCCATGGGAGTGACTGCCATAGAAGGTAACAGTGTTGGATACGAAGATGGTGCTGCAGCAACTTTGGCAACAGCTGCTGTGGCTGCTATTATTTCTTGTGCACCTTCTCGAAGCTGAATGTAGTCCCCCTCAATTACAAATAACTATAAAGATAAAAGAACAGTCAATGCCTAACATAAAGCTCTATCAAATATATAAACCAGGGGGGAAAAAAAGGGCATACTTCAGCATGACCAGCCACAAAGTCATCAAGCTTCCCATACTTCTTCTTATAATCATGCCAGTGAAGGGGGGCAAGCATTTTTCCAAGCCTATTTGGAAGCTGTCGCAAAAATAATAAATAATCAACTAAATCATTATTACAAGACCAATACTGTTAAAAAAAAAAAAAATGATTCAACTTAACTGACCGTTGAACCAATCCTAATTCTACCACCAGATCCAATTGTGCGAACTATGCAAGCTAGTAATGATCTTTCGTCAAGTAGAGAAATCTCAGCAGGCTTTTCAATCACATAAGAATTTTTCTGCCCAGGGTACACAGTGACATCAGAGACATCAGATGAAACAGCAGCTGAGGCAGTGTTCATAGTGATTTTGCTGATATTTACAGCATGATTAGGCGACTCAGACAAGGGTGCATTTACAGAAGAACTAGGTTGTTCCACCATTGAATTTCTGTTCTCTAGTCTATGATCTGTCACAGGGCAGTCATTCTTATCCTATCCAATAAAATATCAAGATAAACTCTCAATCTGTAATGACCAGAAGGAGCATGAACATAAAACAGAACAGCTATATTATACTGATTAAAATAAAGCAGGAAAAGGAAACCTTGGTCTCATTATTATGTTCCAGAGGATCCAATCTAAGCACATCATGAAACTGCGAAGAAACTTGTTGCAAGCTCTGATAAGATTGTGCTACATCTGGGTAGCTTTCATCTACGGACTCAAAAGCCTGAACAATGGTCATAGTAACTGAATAGGGCTGAACATTTGAAAGTATAATGATTAATTCTTTCTTTGAACTAACTACCTGCCCCTCTTTATTTGGTGGTGGAACTATAGAGTTAGGCTCCATCCCTCGACTGATATTGGCATCGAAATAATTTGAAGAAAGAACTTGCCCATTTACAGATGCTTCATAGTCATAACTAGAAACAGCTACAGATGAGGTCTGTTCAGCTTGCAGAGGAAACTGGTTGAGGACAGGCATCTGTTGACCATCTGATACAGTCTAAACACAAGGAAAGAAACAGATACGATTACCAAAACTTGCACGTATAACCAATAATTCAACATGTTTTAATTGATTACCTGTAGGTTCTGTGAAGGTTGAAGAGATGACATGGTAGGTATAGTCTGGAAAATAGATTGTGTGACATGTGACGGTACTGTATGGGGCACCCCTTGATGCATAACAAATGGATGCAAAGCAGTCACCTGGACAGGTGGAAGGTAGGGTGGCAACCCGAGCAGGGATGGAGGAGCAAATGGAACACCATGAACATCGGTCTATTGAGAAATGTAAATTTCAGAATTAATGAAAAGAGTCAGTGTATATGTTGTGCTTTTCTGGACATTAAAGTGTTGGTAGTGTTCTCATCTATTCTCCATATCTTTTCCCTCACGTGGGAAGGAAATGAGAACTCCTATTTATCATCACTAGAAAGTAAGAAATAACAGGACAGACCAAGTTGCAGTAATAACAGCAGTGATTGGGGGGAATGAACCCATTCTTCATTAATGACACGTAGAGCAATAATCGGACTATCAAACCAAGCAACATGATCCAAAAACAATGATACAGCAGAGAATGAGCAGGTATATGATCCAAAAAATAATGAACATTAACTTAGCCCCTGTTTGATCCCTATTAAATTAAATTACATTACATTCCATTTTTCTCTCTCCTATTTTCAACCACACAATCTTCCATAAAATAATATTATACGTAAATCGAAAACTTTTCCTTCTTTTTCAACCACTCATTCATGTAAAAAATACTATTCCCCTTTCATTTTCAGGTAACGGGGATCAAACAGGGGCTTAATATTGCCACACATGTATCTGGCACAACTCACACGATTAGGGCAAAATCCAGAATGAGAACAGTTCTACCTGCATTGAAGTGTTCACTCCCGGAACAAAAGACGGAGTGCCTTCGACATTCCCATTTTGTACGCTACCAGAGTTTTCACTCAGTGTCCCATTTCCTTTCACCTCCAGCTGGCTACCATTGCTTTGTCCAGCTTCAGAAGCATCTTTGGGATTTATCTGGGAGATGTGAGAAGCATCAGAGTAACTTCCACTCTTTTCTCTTGCATCGGCCAATTCAAGCTGAAGTTGTTGAATATGCAGATGAAACCTCTCCATCTCACCAAACTAATGAATTTGATAAAGCTAATGAGTCTACTTAAAAACAGATTTCAAAATAAAATTTAGCATTTGAATGTGGAGGACTAAAAATACTTCGATAACTTAACCACCTGTCTTTGACAAACAAGCCACAGTTGATTATACTGCTCTACACGTTCTCGTAGTTCAGCTTGTAAACTGTGGTTGGTAGTTGATTGTAAAGCATCCATTTCCTGAGCACGAGTCATCCAAGCTTGTGCCTCTCTTAATTGCTCATCTTTGAAAACAATAGTTTCTTGAGCAACCCTATGCTGAAAGACCATAATTAACAGTCTAAGTTGACCCCCACAAAATAATATATACCCCTTTTAAAGAACTTTAATTGGACAGAGAAGAGGCAAGGCAGAGTGACTAACATTTCAAGAAACAAAACTTAAGTCGAGACAAATCATTTTATTTTATCAAAAGCATTGGCAGAGCACACATCACAGTGCACAGTGCAGAAACCACATGTCATAAGATAATCATGAATTACGCAGTTTAAGTTGACTGCAAAAGCTAAAATGTGCAATTACAGTGCATTGATATCCTTTTAACCATTGTGAAAGTATTTAAAAATAACCGATAAAAGACAAACAAACGAGATAGTAACCTGATCAAGACCTCAGAAGATTCGATCAAAACAGTATTGCCAGATGTTCATCATAGACACAAAACAACATACCTGATCCTGCAACTCCATGAGCTGTTGTTCTTTTTCTTGAAGATGTTCCTGAAAATCATGTATTTGTCTAATATGCAGTGCTCTTTCAGCTTCAGTGCTATCCCTCTCTCTTCTGCAAAAAAGACGCAGTTCCTTCAGTTATAAATTTATATACCTGAGACATTAAACACTTCTAAGGAGGTGAAATAAGATTCGAAACGAAATATAAGTTTCATCTAACAATAGTTCGATCTGCCAGAGCCACGAACAATACGATATCATCAATAATCAGATTCTGAAAATCGCATAATGTAAATACACTTGCTCTAAGCAAATAAATTGTAAAACTTCAAGCTCGTTAAATGCACAGCCTATATGTTTGAACAATCAAAAGGGACAAGTAACACATAGCCAACACGAAGGCAAATGAAATTCCAATGCAAACACAAGGGCAAACCTGAAGCTTTGGAGCTCCTTGCTTTGTTCCCTTAGAAGATCCTCTTTGGCCCAAGCCTGCTACGGTAGACGGTAGGATAAATTTAGCAAAACAAGCACTGGGAAATGGGAATTAGTGGCAGAAAACCCAAATTGACTAGAAACAAATTGCCATAAGAATCTCAAACTCACCGCTTCTTTATCTAATCTAATTGCATTCAGCTCCCTTGCTTTATCTTCCATCTTTCTCTCTAGCTCATGAATTATTTGCTCCTTCTCATGCAGTTGCTCCTAAACAACCAGTCATGCCCAATATTCCACAACAAAACCCCCATGAATGCCAAAATAGAAAAACACTCCCATATCTAAGAACACACTAGTAATTAGCAGAGAGAATAAAGCAAAACCTGAAATTTGACATTGGCATTTGCATGCTCTTTGATCTGTGCATCATATGACTTCTGCATCTCCATAATCTCAGATCTTATAACGACTTGTGCCTGGAGCTCAATCTCCATATGCTGCAATTCCTCTCTTTGTTTCACCACAGTTAAAAGTTTTTGCTGCAAAATATCATTGTCCAAACCCCTGTCAATAGTTATTGTGCAGAAATCCACGTCCGTGTGTTCTCTTCCCTGCTGCACCTTAATATAAGAGTCCAAATCATCTCCACTCAAAAAACGAAAGAAACTAGTAAAAAGAGAATTAAAACTGATTTTTTATAGAAAGCAATTACCTCATATATCAATCTCTCATCAGATTGGCCTAGCTTGGAAAGCTCCATGTCCTAATGTGGCGGCCCAAATACAAATTAAAAATAAAATAAAAAGAACAGAAAAATTGGAAACTCTAACTTTAAGATACAAGTTTAAACCAAAAACAATTTTCTTCACACAAATAAAGAAACCGATGTCGATGAAAAAAAAAAAATTAAATTGCAATGCAAGTAGGGTTTTCGACTAAAATGTACCTCACTAGTGAGGTTTCGAGCCGATTGCTCGGAAACAGCCCGCCACTCCTTACGAGAAGGCTGAGATGACGTTGACATCGGCATAGAAACACCGCGTGCGACGGCTACACCGGCCGCAGCTTCCATTTTCAATATACAATACAATTCTCCAATTGCCTCGCTCTCGAAAATAAAAAGAAGCCCTAATTTCGATTTATACCTAAACAACAAAAAATAGTGCCAAATTTTTTTTGTGAAAAACCTAGAGCGAGACAGAAAGAGCCGAATAAAATGATGGATTTCGCACCTTTGGCTGCTGTTGATTTTCACAGATTTGGGTTTTAGGGGGTTTCACTGACAATGTAGGGTTTTCAAAGGGACTGGATAGTGAAATAAAGTAAAAATCGTTGACGACAGTAGAGACCAGAGAGAGAAGGAGAGACTGTGGACGAGGCTCTCACAATTAATAGGCAAGTGGTGAAGAAATCGTGAAATATACGCGCTCAAAGAGTCAATGGACTATAGACACTGGTAGGCACATGTTTGTCAACCATTAAAAAAAAAAGGTTCTGAAATAATGCATTTTTTAAGATTGTGTGATTAAAAAATGGGAAAAAAAAATAATTTTACGTGAAAAATATTTTATTACAAAAATGTATTATTAAAAATAAATTTAAAAAAAATAGTCTCGAAATAATGGTAGATATACAATGGCCAAGTAGTGATCCAATGGACGAAGAAATAATGCAATCCAAGAGTGTATTAAGATTGACTTAATTTTTCATGAATAATATTATTTTTCATTCAAATTCCTATTTTTTGAGTATTTGATTGATATTTTTTCCATACAAAATATTTTTCGACTTTTGAACACGTGACAATATTTTCCTTAGAAATATGGAAAACTTGTTTTTAGGAAGTGGTGGTTTTTATTTTCGAGTTAATTGACTCTCTTTTTCTCTCTCTTATTTATCATTTCTCTCATCTACTACAACTAAAAAATGGATAAGTATAATATTTTCTAAATTAAAAATTAAACAAATCAACCATATATAATTAATAATTTTCATACAAATAAATTCAAGGCAATTGAATTTTCTAGAATTTATTTTAAAAAAAATTGCAGCAGCGGTCCCTAATCTTTTCATTTTTTGTAGGCTTTACTTTAACCTTCATTTTGTGCTAGCAGACGTTCAAAACCTTTCATAAATATGTACATGAGGTCCATTTGAACGAAAACCATCCAAAATACCGTCAGTTGATTGGAAAAATTAAGGGATCAATATCTAATAAAATCATCCAAAAAAGTATCAACATCCAATAAAATTGTCGCGGTAGTAGATGGTTCAAGAAACTTTCCAAGTCAACTGATGGTGTTTTGAATGATTTTCGTCTAGATTGGCCTCAGGTGCATATTTATGAAAGGTTATTGATCTTCGTTGGCACAAAATGAATAATAGGATAAAGTTTGCAAAAAATGAAAATGTTAGGGACCACTGTAGCAATTTTCCCTTTATTTGATGTCCATACAAATTTATGTTCGTAATCAAAAGCACACAAATGTGTTTGATTGGCTTTATTTTCTATGAAAAATGTCACTTTTATCCAAATTTCTACTTTTTAGGTGTTTGATTGATAATTTGGTTTATGAAAAATATTTTTCAACTTATGATTATATAACCATGTTTTCATCAAAAATAGTGAAAGACATTTTCTTTAAGAATGGGTGATTGTTATTTTCTAGGTAATTCTCTCTCTCTCTCTCTCTCTCTCTCTCTCTCTCTCTCTCTCTCTCTCACACACACACACACACATTTATCCCCCCTCTCTCACATTTACCCATCAATAAAAATGGACAAATATAGTATTTCTAGGTTAAAAGCTAAATCGAATACATTTAACTAATAATTTTCATACAAATAAATTCTAGGCAATTGAATTGGCTATAAATTATTTTATTTCCTTGCAAAATTCATATTCGCAATCAAACGCATCCTAAATTCAATGAACAAAGAAAAAATAAAAATGCAAATGAATGAGCAACTTTGGACCGATTTGGTTTGTGTGTCAGTTTTGAGTTTATTTTTAGTTTTCTATTTTAAGATTTTGTTTTAAGAATTCTAGAAATATATTTTGATTTGTCATTTTGAAAATTTATTTCTCAAAACAAAAAACTAGAAAATATGTGTGATTTAAAATCAAGTAATATCTACATTTTAAAATTGGTGAATCTTATAATATTTTTCTCATTATAAAAGTAAAATAAATAATAAATAATAAATTGAGTTCAAAATATAGTAAATAAAAAATAATGGACTGAGAATATTTTAGTTCAAAATATAGTAAATAAAAAATAATGGATTGAGAATATTTTTATGTGTATTCATTTTAATATTTTTTTAGAATTTTTCCTACTCTCTTATAAAAGCCTCTTTGGAGTTTACTATTCATTTTTTGTAACCTTGGGTTTCACACTTGTTTAGATCCTACCGTTCATAAACATGTTCCCTACTTGTGCCATATTGGATCTATTCACACCCAAATGAATACATATAGCCTGAATCCTACTATCAAAATATAAACACAAATACGTGGTCATTTGGGCAAACCCTAAGTCGGCCCCAAACCTTCTATCTCTGATGCGAACCACATAGTAGAATTGACTACGAAACCCATAATGAAATTGTTTCAAAATCCAGAAAAACTTAATTAAAGGTTTAGAATTCGAACAAAAGAAATAAGTGAACAAAAAAACCAAGCGAGATCGATGCTTGAAGAACCCCTTGATTACAAGTCAGAGATTCGCACTCGATTGGTTGAACGCCACAAGAATGGTAAATTCTTGATAAGTTCAAGTTGTTCAATTAAGAATGAGGAAAAGAAAAGCACAGTAGTCTCTCAAAAACCCTCGGAATTTTATTGAATAATAATAATGTCTTCTAATATAAGAATACAAAAATCTAGTAAAATCATACATTATTTATACTAGTTGTAAAACCCTAAAAATCTAGTAAAACCTTACATTATTTGTCCAAGATTACAAAAATTTGACTAAAATTAGAATTCTACTAAAATATGGAAACTCGCGGAAAAAGGAAAATTTTTGCCCAAAATTACACTATGCGATCCATAGTATAATCCAATGCTTAGCTCATTTAAAATCCTTCAATTTGGTCTCCAAAATGGTCTATGTGGTCGCATGTCTTTTATACTATGCAGTCGCATAGTATTAAATTTCAACACCCACTTGTTCATATGTAGAATTTCGTGATGATTTCAGATTGTACTTATGGATGAAAATTTGACACCCGAGCTGAAAGTTATGCCCGTTTTAATCCAAATTTTGAATTAAATTACTCCAATTTGTTTCGACTCTCGACCCCAACATAGAAGTTGTCCCATTTTGTGACATGATAAGAGTGCAAAATATCATAATTTTCTCATCTTAATTATTGCATTTGTGTGATTATTTGATATCAAAATTTACTCATTATCTTATGCTTTGACTCAGATTGCATTTTGGTAGAAAATGTGAAATTTAGATGAAAAAAACGAGAAGGACCAAAATGGAAGAAAGTGAAAGTTCAGGGACTAAGTTGCAAACAATCTAAAGATGAGACGGGTGATGGAATGATAATTTGAGAAAGCTAGGAGTCCAATGGGTGCAAGTAGAAGTCAAAATAAGTTAAATATGATCATAATATTTTCACAAATCAAATTCCAACCGCATAAAGATTTTCCAAATTTTCAGTCGAAGATTGAAGTCCACTTTTGACCCCGTAAACGTCAAAATTTGGAAAAAGATATTTCTAAAAAAATTGGTACCCTTTGTGTTAGATTTCCAATTCACTTTTAATTGCCTTAATCGGACATTAGGAGAGAAAGTTATGGTCAAAATACTGAAAGTAGTCGCACAGAATATTCTAGTCGAAAATTTAGTTTCCTTATTCGGTTCAACCTCTTTTGAAAACAATTTGGCACACGATTTTAAGCCCTGGACTGGACAGAGAATGCCTCTTTTGATCCTCACATCAATTTTCTTTGGTTTTTGGCTCAAGAGTTCCATGAAGAACTAAAACCCTTGGTGAAGCTTGGAAGGAACTCATTAGATTTGGTGAAATCACATCAATTGCTCATATAATTTGATATTTTATTGTCAAACAATTCTAGATTTTAGACTTTCTCCTTATGAATTGATTTTGAAATTGGTTTATTTTTTATTAGATCTTTCATAGATTCAATCATGTTTTTTTTATTGTTTGATCGAAATATTTATTGAGTTACAATTTCATTCATGTTATTGGTGAGTTATTTATGATCTTATACTTGAAGTATATGGTTGGAACTAAAGTGATCTTTACTGTAAATCTTCTTATTAGAGAGTTGGGATGAAAACCTCCAATTGAGTAGTAATACATGAATAGTTGGTGTTGATCGATCCAACCCAATTGAGGAAATTCCAATACTTTACTAATTTCACATATTGATATTTAAATTTCATTCCAAATTGATAAACTAGTTTCACATAATTCCTGAAACTGCTAAGCTTTTGATCCTTTGAGCATTTCCCATCTCCCTGTGGAATCGACACCCCAAGGCTATACTATAATCATCGCGTTATACTTTGGGCGTAATCATGCCATGAGCAATGTTTCATCGATTATGGATTGAACGAGTGATCCCATCATTTGTTTCACCCGTTTTGCCCTCGATCTCGTCACCAGTCCGTCTTCGATTATTAACAGGTCTCATCTTTGTTGGCCTCGAATCTAGGATCACATCATCCCCTCATTCTTCAAAAAGATTCATCCTCGAATTTGCACCTGCATCAAAGTGAGTGAGAGAGAGAAAGAGAGATCAGACACATTAAATGTTGCTGAAACATTGTACTCACCTGAAAGGTCCAGCTTGTAAGCATTGTCGTTGATCTTCTCAATGACTTGAAATGGACCGTCTCCTCGTGATAGCAACTTTGACTTCCTTTGCTCTGGAAAGCACTCTTTTCTGAAAATGCACCCAACCCCGATCACCTGGTTTGAATGTGAGGCTTTTACTGCCTTTGTTTGCATGTGAAGTAACGAGCTTATTCTTGTTCTCAATCTGCAACTTAACCTTTTTCATGGAGTGATTTTAACAATTATGCTTTCTTTTACCATCTAAACTACCACTTTTATTAACAGGTAACGATATTAAATCCAAAAGGGTTAGCAGATTAAAACCATAAATAATTTGAAAAGGAGAAAATGAAGTAGCCGAATGAACAGCTCAATTATAAGCAAACTCAACAAATTGTAAACACTTCTCCCAACTTTTCAAATTCTTGTTTATCACTGTGCATAATAGTTGAGTCATAGTTCTATTGACTAGCTCGGTTTGTCCATCGATTTGTGTGTGACAAGTTATGGAAAATAACAATTTCGTGCCTAACTTACTCTCACAA